CTCACCATTATTTTACCCATTGTTTTATACTCTCATTGTTTATTTGTCATACAAATAAGCATTCCCTAAACTCACAGAGATTTTTTTTTAAAAAAACAAACTAAAAATAGTAAAAAATTCTCTTTTAAAGTGTTAAAAATGTACTTTTAAAACATTTTATCACTTGTCACTTATCTTTTTAGCATCTTACCGGGATTAATTTTGAATAGAATGTTTTTTCGTTTAGATTTGCACACACCAATAAAGCTCAAATATATTTGGTGAAAGGATTTTGTCTTCAAAACCTGTAAATTATTTTTCTCTAGTCCTGTACCAATGATATCAACAACTTGCTCCACTTTAAATGTTCCTATTTGATGTGGAGAAAATGAAAATATCACATCCTGGAAAAGAAAAGTCATTATGAGACATATGAGACAGAAAAGCAAAGAGAAAAGTTTTGTGTAATTCTCTCCATGCTTACTTCTAAGATAGGTGTTCAAAACTGGGCTCTTAGAATATGCCAGCTGCCACACATAAATTAGCAATATAAGAAAATATAAAACTGCTACACATTAGAACACCACAAAGTCTCTCTTGCTTATTTCTGGGACAAATTGTTCTCTCTTGTGCCCTGAGTTACAGGTTTGTGAAATTATAAGTGTTTCCATATTTGACTTAAATCTGGCAAAGTTTCTTCCATTAAAAGATATGTTATGTTACTCCAGTATTTGTGATTTACTGAAAGAAATTAAAAGGATCCTGCAAAGGTTTGGGTATAAATCAGTCTTCTAAAGTCAGTAAAAAATAAAAAATTTAAAGCCAGGAAAAACCTGGGTAAAGTTTCTTTAGTACTACAATTATTTTTTCCAAATTTAAAGTAACACTTGTTGCTTCCTGGAGTAAAGAGCATTAAAAGACTCTACATAAGGAGAAAAAAATTATATTTTTGGCTGATACTAAACGTCATACCTACTGAAATGAAATTGTTCTGGTTTACTTTAAAGAAATTCCACTGCTGGCCACTGTAAAGCATATCTACATAATCTAAGAGAAAGAGGTAATTACCTTTGCAGATTTTTTTTTAATTTTCCCTTTTTCAGGTGAAATATTAAAGTGAGCAGTCTTGCGGAAGCTGAATGTTACTGGAAGGGACTCGGATTCATTTTTGAATGTGCATAGAACTTGTGTTTGTTCACCCAGGAAACAGTCCATAAACTTAATAACTGGTCCTGGACTAAAAGTTAACATGAGAGGAAGCCCAGAACCTGTCAAAGCTAACTCCATGTGATGAGGATGATTCACTGCATTAGACAAACACAAAAAACAAACAAACAAACCTCACATACCTATTAGCTTACAAACAGAAAAGTCATACTATAGTTGTATGGTTGCAAAAACAAAATAATACCGTAATATAATATGATTTATAATGCAATTTTCTATAAACTTAACACAGACATGCTTACTTATGATGGCTGTTAGATAACATATTCCCTCATTAAGGAATTTGAGAGTGATCAAATATTCACTTAAAATGCACAAAACTGGTATTACCAAAGTGCTGGTGGCTTGCAAATGGCTGGGGTTTTTTTAATGTCCTCCAAATATTTACATTTATAATTAAGTTCTAGGTGTTCATTACCAGCATGCATATTCATGATACACGATTCCCTCCTCCTTTCTACTCACTGTTTGAAGAGGGTTTGGTGCTAAAGCATTAAAGATGTAAGTTACAATAACTTATTTGTATGGATATAAATAAAACAAACACAGGTTTCCCATAAAACTGCTAAGATGAAGAAATTTAAAAAAAAAAAACAACCCAAGATATACAGTTTTATCATCCATATATACATTTCTGATGGTGACTATACATTTCTGATAACATACTCGTGATTGCTGTGGCACCATCACTGAGGGCCTGCAGATAGCCATCTTTATTCCCAACAGCTTCAAATCTCAGAAACAGTACGTAATCTTGTTTCGGTGATGAGTCGTTCACTGCAAAGTCCCTTTTAAATTTTCTGTAAGAGTCACAATCTCTAATTACAGGATGGGGAAAAAAACAAACCACCAAATCCCAACCCACAGAAAAAATCAAGGCTTATTTTTAATCATCCAGTCTGGCTTCTTTGCTGTTGGTTACAGCTTGAACACATTATCTTTATACTTCCTTTCGGAAAATGGAACAGTAACAAATTTAAGCTCAACAGTATCTGTATGCTTATTATACGAGTCATTTGATATCTTTTCCAGTTTACAACAGTTTTCTAAACTAATATTACGTGCATAATCATCACTTATAATTAGAGTTTAAGTAAGGGAAAACGGCAAAAGCGCATTTTCTTTTTCTTTTCCTTATCCGAAGAAGAAATGTTCCTTTATGCTTACTTTTTTTTAGTGAAATGAAAGCTCTCCAAAATGTTTCAGTCTCTTGGTGATGAAATATATATATATTCTTTCATAATGCTGCACATATAGTATATCTTTATGAAATAAATCTGCAGTCATTAAAAAGGCACTTCATTTGACACTGTAGAACTCTCTCAACAATCGTTAGAGATTCAACATATTTAATGGGAGCTGCAATTAGTTCCCTTGGCAAAATCTGGTAAAATCCTTCTCGCAAAACAAGCTTAACCAATTCTTTGTTCAAATACAATCTTAATGTATTATAAAACATCTCCCAGATAATCAATTCAGACTTTGCTTTCTCATTTGTAGTATCATGCCAAGCAATTTCTTTTAACACGCATAAATACGTAAGAAGTCATTCAGAAAAAAATTTGTAGACACATTAACTTAAAATTATTTTCTCTAACACAGCTCTTTACAGAATAGTTTAGACCAATCAACTTGTGTGCGTGTGTCTAATTTGGACCACTCACTCACTTTGGACTAAAGCACAATGTAACCAAAGATTTCTCATAAGGTAGCAAGGTTCCTTGATTGGGAATGCACAAGATCAGGGTGGAAACATCTACATCTCTTGTTCTATTTTTGAGGCTTAAGTCTTGTAAAACAGCATCTGCACTTCTCTGAAGATCTGTCCCCTAAAAAATAATCAAAATGTGGAATAGTTCAGCCTGTTCTGCTTTCCCTTTTGTGTTTGGGGTTTTTTTATTCCCCTACACATACATTTTCATACCTTTCACAACAAGTAGAAAGACATAACATAAGTAATAGCACTGACATAGTTACATATCACATGGCTAATTAACCAATTTTTAAATATCGATTTCATGTCAATGTTTTTAATTCCCTTTTTTAAAGATGATGCTCACTCACATGATTTCACTGTCTGAGAACAACAAGTGAAACCACAGATGCTTAACATCTTAGAATACCAAAATATATTTTGGTAACTCCTACTAAATGATAAGAAATCCAGTAGGCCAAGCAAAACTGCTCAAAAAACCCCAACAAAACAAAAAAAAAAAAAAACACACCCAGGGAACATACTTAACTTTGTTAAGGTTAAGATGTCACACAGTGAAACAGAAATATCTGAAAAACTTAATTCCAAGGTTAAATTATAGTAAAAATTTGTTGGTTGGACAGAAGTTTCAGAAAGCCTATTGATCAGGAAATAGTATGACATAGTAAACACTACTAGAAGACGAATGTTGAGAAACAAAAAATGCAAAAGCAGAAATGAAAACAACTTTTCAACTGAAATAAAAATCAGAAGAGTTTCTTACCATCTCTCCTCCAATGGCATTGTCTTCCAGTACTGCTACCCAGTCCATACACTCAGGACTTTCATTGTATAAAGTTATTTGTTCAGTCTTTGAAGACCCAAAGTAAACTGGTCCAAAGTGAATGCATTCCAATATATTTCCACAAGACACTCCTAGAACTTTAAGAACTTGTTCAACCACAACAGCTTTGATCCATACTTCAGTGCAGCCATGACCTTCCAACTCCACTCTGTCAGTAAGAGTAGCAAGCAGCCAGAGGTAATGTAGAAAAGTGTTAGAAATAATCTGTTTGGTTTATATTAGGACATGCAAAACTGACCCAAATCAAAGCATTTAAATCACTGGCTTTCTAGTGAAAGTCAGTCTACTAGACTGCAGGAGACAGTAGCCGATTAACCAAGATGGGGTGAAGAAAACAGTGGTGTTAGCCTGGTCAGCAAAGGAAAGGCAGAAAGCATGACACTCCGCAACCAAGAGGTTGAAACTTAGTAACCAAAGAAAATATCATATGAAGGAGGATGTAACTGTGAGGCAAAATACAGATATTGTCTTCCCTGTCACTCCAATAGACTTTTTCTCCTTTCATTTCATTTCCTTTTCCATCAGGCTACAAAAAGCAAGAACAGAAAGAACTGAACTTTAAGTCATATATCTTAATAATTTAAAACCAAACCAGGAAACACACACCCCCACCGCACCCCACAAAAAAAAAAAAAAAAAACCAACAACCACATCCTATTCACTATTATAAGAAAATAGGATTGAAAAGGACTTTCCAGATTGGTATCCACTTCCAAATTCTGGCACTTCCTAAAAAGTCTGTATTACCATTTGAAGAGAGACAAGGTAGACATTTAAAAATAGTCTATTCTTAAAAGGGTTAATGGTTGCAAATACATTCCCTCCATTTAAAATAAGATACTCCAAAGGACATCATGATGTTTCTGAGACTCCTGAAACACATAGATCCAAAAGAAAAATAGCAAAGTTATGGAAGCTAAAAAAAAGTAAGGAACACAGGACCTGTAGAAAAGTGAAAGATCTAAAAGCTTTTGGTTAGTTGTATACTGAAATGTGTGTAAACATCCAATATCTTTATGACTTATGAGATATCTTTAATAACACAGCCAGGTACTGCACCATTGTTCTGTGGATATAATATAATCATCAAATTAATTTAATAAAAATAAATGTGGAAGACAGCAACTGACACCTGGGAGCTTAACTTTATTAGATAAACATTCATAATAAAGACTAGAATTAATAACAGACAAAAATGTAATTTACAGAGCTGGATTTCTTCAGTCATACTCACTTTATCATTTCTCTGATGACTCTGGGTACATCTGTGCAAATATCCACTTTAACTGTCTTTATAGATTTCGGCTCTACCACTCCAGTGGTAGGTTCTATGTTAAGCAGGACAACCCCATCATACGATATTTTAAATGTACCTGAAAGAAGCAGAATAATAAACAGAATGTTACACAACAAAGTTGTAGATTTTTATTCTTCTGTTACACATTTGGAATTACAAAACACAATGCAGATATTCACAAGCAGTACTTTTTCCTATTGAAATAGGAAACAGAGTTAATCTTTTTCAAAACTATTTCTAACACAGAGTAGATCATTATTTCCAAGGTTTCTTTAAATATTACACCCACATGTCCAATGCCACTTTGCAAGTTGTGATTGTAACAGAAAAGGTACTCACATTCCAAACAAAAGCAGCTGTAAGTAACATTTTGTAAGTTACAGGATGTTTTATACACAGCCCTAGGCAGCTACCATAGCCAGAAAGTTAAGTACATGTTGCAGGTAACTACAGTTTTCATGATTTGGTGTGTACACAACACAATTTATTGCAGAAGAGAGAACAGTGAACATTTCTAGGTTATAAAAATATTTTTTAAAATGTGAAAAAATTATTAAATGTATATTTAACTAGCAACACTAATTATCTGTCATTATATCATAGATAGTAAGAAATTCTTTCAAATGATGTAGGAAAAATGCAGTGTTTGACCTCAGACAATAGATAACCTCTGATATGAGATCAGAAGCAGGAACAAAGGACTCATTTTGTGCATGGGATGCCATGTGAAATGCAATCCTTGAGTCACAGGCCAGCATACAGCACTTCCTGCAAAAAAAGCTGCCTGTTAGTGCGACCTGCTGTATTACGATTCACAGAGCCTACAGAAACACAAATTCAGCAGCTATTCCTTTGTCTGCCCTCAATACACTCTACACTAACCACCGCTTTAATTCTAATTTTGCCTGTGTCCAATCCTGTAAAACTCCATCATGCAGCCTGCATGCATCATGCAACAGAGTTTATAACTAGAAACAGTTCCTACACAACATAAGGAATTTCACATCATGCAAATTAGTTGTACATGCATATGTAATGTAGGCTATCTCATTTTCTTTACCTAATCATCATTCCTCAAAGAAAGAAGTTAGTATGTATGAGTAAGAGCTGATTATATAAACAACATACTACCTCTTTATGTTGAGCTGGCTAGAAAAAAAACAATTTTTCCTTTGCTTTTTGGAAAAAAAATTTAAAATAGAATAAAATTCTGTTCTAATTAGACAACCATTTGATTTTTTTTTTTTAAATATTGCAACCCATCTCTGTGTTTTTACAATCATGTATTTTCTGTTGGTATGATATTTTTTGTGGAAATCTATGAAGCAAATGTTCACCAAAATAATTAACTGCCTTAAATTTGTTGTTTGAAACTGAGCATAGTTGCCACCCTACTTCTGGAGAAAGGTGTCTACAGCTTTGCCCAGTGGAAAAGGCAGTCAAATAGGTTACTTGGATCATACAAGCATCCTTACGCTCCATTCTCCACGTTTCTTATACTCCCGGAAGGGTCCCTCACAGAAGTTGAAGTATGTGCATGTTTTGAAAGCTGTATGATCTCAAAAGCTATGGCAGCAAGATAAAAGACCACTCATTATCTTCTGGTAACAAATACGGTTCAATTCCAATCCTAGAGGACCTTAGCTCTGAAAGTACAGGGAGCTTGTAGTTGTTTAGTTAATAGACAGTTATTGGGATCACAGAATCACAAAGACAACAAAGCATGAGCAGACGTGATTTGCTACTATTTATGTTGGGCATAGAAAGCCAATGAGCAACTGTTATTTCTACATCTTTCAGACGGGACTCAAAAAGTAAAAAACTCCTAAAATCTGGCAAAGTTCTGAATTCATTTTTCTTCCCTAAGCGGAAACATAGTACTGCCTACAGAAGCAATGGGCCATTTATAGAACCTTTAGCTACAATACTCATATTCTGCATAACCCAGAACTTCAGTTAATTTCTACTTGGCCACTGAAGTGTTAACTTGCATAAAATTACATTTTCTAAGAAAACAAAATATTTGTATAATTTAATGCATACTAAATATTTACCTGAAGCTGATCCATGGTTAGCAATACTAATCTCTTTACTAATTATTTTACTGTTTGCAATCACCGCACCAAAATTAATCTCTGACTCAGTTTCCAGATAACAGCACGGAATTAATCTGCAGAGAAAAGACATGGTTATATTTTCCCAAAACTTGAAAATACCTTTGCATTTTTAAAGAAATTTGCTTCAGCACTCCAGTGGAAGAGAGTTGTCCTTTTCTCCCAGTTCTCCTACCAATGTTTATGCAACTCACTTCAGCAGTATAGCATATGCAGGGAAGATGTAAAAAAGATCTAGCTATCTATCAAGCTGTTTAATGACTAACTACTGTAACTTTAAAATGATACAGCTTTAAACAATTCGTCAAAATGGAATGTATAAATTTCTATTTAACTTTAGATACTTTATTATACTACAAAGAACTTTAAATAAAACTATCTTGAGTTAGTTGCATCACAAAATAAGACCAAAGTTAACATTCACTGTATTTCGTTATCAGCTGCCTGAACTAAAAGCAAAGAGAAAACATGCATGCCAGTTTCAATTTACAGTCTTCTTGTTTTATAGATACTTTATGTGGCTTCAACAAAACTTATTATAACAGACAGAAGTGGGTAATGATACAAGTTACTTCTATTATTTATTTAAGAGCCTCAGCCAGCATGATGATATCATTGTATTAGGTACTGCTTAGCCGTAATGAAAAGATCATACTCGCTTCAGGAAACTTGTATTTTAAAAGCCCCAATTTCTAATACAATCACACCTCACATAAAACTGTGTTTGAAATCAGTTGGAATTTTACATCAGCACAGCAGTCTATCTCCTCTTAACCACAAATAGGAACATGCAGGAACAATTGCATCTCATGATCTGCATTACGTGCAGTACAGAAGACTAAATGGAGAAGGAAGATAAATCTCCTTGGCTGAGCTAGGTAGACCCTGCCCATACAATCTATTGCATAAGGAAGGGGGGGAGGAAGAGGGAAAGGAAGGGAGAGAGGAAAAAAAAAAAACTAATCAGGAAATGCAACAAAAGAAGTTGCTCTTGTGAATGCTAACACACTGTTTTTAATTCTCTTTAATAATTTATTGTAATGCAAAAAAAAAAATTAGTAAATTCTTGAAAGAGATGGTCTAGATGAGCAGGATGTGGCAAAAAAACCCCAACAAAACAATAATAAAAAAAAACCCCACCGCCAAGGAAACAGCTATCAAGATTAGAGTACACTTGAAAAGACTGTAAAAACTTCACGTTCTAAGTATTCAGACATTCTTCCAAAAAGCTTTGTTAGAAAAATGAAACACAAGTATGTCTTCTCTCAAGATCCAAACATATAACTTCTGAAGTAGACAGCAATAAGCATAAATTCTAAGTGCAATAAGATTTTCTAATAGATACAGACCTGTGCAAAAAGGGAGATAGCCAAGTTACAGGTTTTGGGGTTTGTTTTTTAATACAGGGTGGGGTTTGTTTGGGTTGTTTGGTTTGCTGGTTTGGTTTTGGTTGGGTTTTTTTTATGAAGATGGAACTTATCCCTGGAAATGCCTAATTTCAAATGTTTTCTTAGTATTTTTTTAAAACAAACAAATTAATTCTTAATTATTATATTTCAAAAAATAGAGTTTGGATGCAGAGTTTCAGTTACTCATTAAAAAAAACCCAAACAAACAAAAACAAACAAAAAAAAAACAACCGCAACTGGCTTGTTTGAAACACATTCCTAAACCTTGAGTATAAGTATTTTCTATGATGATCAAATATTTACATAATTAAATAATTACACTTGTATTACTGAGCACATCATAAGTCCATGATGCTGTAGAATTAAGCTAAAAACATTGTTTGGTCTCCAAAACTTACATCAAATACATGAGCCACAAATCAGTATAATTAACCACTGGATCTAGTCTTATGAGCTCCACTGGATCTAGTCTTATGAGCTAGGCAAATACGTAACAGCTATTTTACTTGCAAACCAAACAACTGTGATATTAATGTCACTAAAGCACAACAGAAATAAAATTCTCTTGGTGGCATTTTTCACCAAATAAATGGTTACAAAAATAAGTGGAGTGTTACTGCAGTTTAATGTTGTATGGGAAACTAACCTTTCCTACACTCTCAGTGAATCTCATCCCAGACCAAAGATTATCTTAAAATGAACAGTAGATGTGATTGAAGGAATCGCACAAATTGTTGGCAAAAAGGTTAAATATTTTCATGCTTTTTTCCTAAACCACCAGTGAAATTTTCTTTCAATGAAATTCTACAGACAAAACATGTAGACCCATAATTTCTACAAATTCAACAGTGAATTACATATATGTACATATCACCCTATAACTGACAGAAATAAAAGCTGAAAAACGATATAATTTCAAAGAAAGAAGACAAATTAGCTAACAGGTAAGAGAGAAGTAGCAGACATTTAAAGAGGCCAGTCCAAATAATATCAGCAACTTGCAAACATTTCTTATACAATAACACATTATCTTGGATTATATTTATGAATTTTCTGAACTTGCCGTCACATGCTTTAAAACTTAATTCTGTTTTGCAGATGTACAACTCTTCAAAGGTCTGCCAGTACACAATCTGAGTGGCATTCACCAGAGACAGTGAAAATAAACACTACGTTTGAGTCGGCCAAAAATCACTGATAAGAAATTTTGTTTGTGCGTCACAAAAATATATAGCAATTTGATGTAAATCTAAGTATAGCCTTAAAAATTTTTAAAATCACTTATTTCAATTCTTGACGTTTTAGGAAAAGTAGCATTAGTGTTTGCTGCATTATTATTGATACATCACTAGAAATAATAGAATGTTATTAAAAATGTAAAAAAAAAATGCACAAACTTTTAAATAGGAAGTGAAAAAAACCACATCAGAATTAAATAAATTCAGGGGATGGGGAGTATCTGTCTCCCAAAACTGAACATTGCAAGTATTTCTTTGAAAATATTTTCAGGTTCTTCCATCAAATTAAGCACTGTTGTGGACATTTCAGAGTGACAATGCAATTTTTATCAAAAAAAAAAAGTTTTCACTAGTATGTCACAACCAGTGTTACACTACATACACTATTTTCTCAAAATGGTTAATGATGCATTTTAAACTATGTTTGTATAGAAAAATATATTATGTATTTAGTGATCCTTCAGTGCAATAATTGAATATCATCTATCTATAAGCAGCAGACACACATGACATAAAATACATTTGGGAAAAGACCGATTAAAAAAGAACCATAAAGTATACCTCTTTTTTCCAAACAAACAAAAAAAAATTATAATAGCCTGTCAATTTTTCCGTACAAAAGCCAGTTAAACATGAAGATTTGAAACACTTAATCTACTGCAAGTCCTTTCCAGAAAGTAGTCACCAGTAGCATTACCATCCTAGAGTGGTCTTACTTCCACAATATCACCCCAATATTTTTTTTCAAAAAATTAAAAATGAAAAATTTAAAAATTAAAAATTAAACATAAAAAAGTAAAAATAGAAAATTTAAAAAATAAAAACTAAAAATTAAA